CAGCGAATTCTGGGAGTTGAAGTCCGGACATCTTCAAGTTGCCAAGGTTGAGAAACACTGGTATGGTCCGATCAAGAGGATATAGAATGGCCTTTCAAAGGAAGCTAAATATATTGACTCTTTTGCTTATGTCTTCAAAGAGATTACAATGTACATTTTATCCCTTCCACCCGAAAGAAATTTTAAGCAACAAATGTTTCATATGGCAAGGATAGCAATTATGCACTGGTATGTGGGTACGGTGGCTTAGTGACTAAGACGCTGAGCTTGTCGATCAGAAAGGTCGGCAGTTCGGTGGTTTGAATCCCTAGTGCCATGTAACGGAGTGAGCTCCTGTTACTTGTCCCAGCTTCTGCCAACCTAGCAGTTTGAAAGCATGTAAAAATGCAAGTAGAAAAATAGGAACCACCTTTGGTGGGAAGGTAACAGCGTTCCGTGCACCTTTGGCGTTTAGTCATGCCGGCCACATGAGCACGGAGACATCTTCGGACAGCGCCGGTTCTTCGGATTTGAAACAGATGAACACCGCCCCCTAGAGTTGGGAAAGAGTAGCACATACGTGCAAGGGGAACCTTTACCTTTACTTTACTTAAGAGTATCTCAGGAAATGGATCCTCACATAAGACCTATATGTGTAGAAGGGTTTCTGCAGCAAGCAAGCACGCTTGGGGTTTAATGGCTCTGAATTATTTGGATGAAATAATAGCAGTGCTATTCTTTGAGGGTCTGGCCTTCCCCACCAGGAAGAGTTTTGCATTTTTTAAAATGTTATACTGATATTTTTTTAAAAAACCTTTTAGGAATCAGGGTGGAGAAGTTGTCTTTTTTTCTTTTAAAAATAGCAAATTAATGTTTCTCTTTTGGGGCAGGTGGCTGTAAAGAACAACATTGATGTTTTTTACTTCAGCTGTCTTATTCCCCTCAATGTGCTTTTCGTAGAAGATGGCAAAATGGGTGAGTGTGATATATCTGGTTATTAATAGGCCTTGAGGGAATTAAAGGGAGGGATGGGATACACATCATGGAAGGACGGTCACTCTCCTAGTTAAAGGACAAACAATAAATGAAGAACTGCAGCGTTTGCTATGTGGATCTACAGAGTCCAAACTGGTTTTCCCCAATCAAGGAAATGTGGCCTTCCTCTCCCCAAATTCCCCCATCAATATGGCCATTGAAGTCCTACACTGCTTGTCCACAGTGAGGATGCTAATTTCTAAAGGCTATTTCACCACATACCTTTTCCTTACTCTTTAAAATAGTTCTAGTACATACTCCAAATCAGTCTGCCCTTTTACTTCTACAATAATTGGGCCAAGCAGAGGTAGGATATTTGGATCTGAAAAACGCTCTTTTCACTCCTGCCCAATTTTGTAGGAGCAGGTTAGGATGAGAGGGATCTCTAATCCCAGATCCCATCTTCAGATTATAACTCAACAGGGGAAGACACAGAGTACTTCGTTTATATTATATACATTTACATGGGTGGTCAATTGACCTGTGAGTTCTTACGGCTAGGAATCCATAAAAACATAACAGATGTTAATAAATAAATTAATAAAATTGATAAATTATTTACTTGTTTCCTGCCTTTATTATTTTTACAAATAAGATGGCAAACATATATCCAACACACCTTCATCCTCCTATTGTCCCCACAGCAACAACCCTGTGAGATGAGTTGGTCTGAGAAAGGGAGACTGGCCCAAGATTACCCATCTGACTTTCATGCCTAAAGTGGGATTAGAACTCACAGTTTCCTGCTTTGTGGGCTGGTGCCTTAACCACTAGACCAAAGAGGCTGTCATTAAACTAAAAGAACAATGTGTCTGTGGAGAAAGCCAAATAACAATCACTTACACGAAGTCCTCAGCTTAGCAATTGTTCAAAGTTACTATAGATTTACACACACACACACACACACACACAGAGAGAGAGAGAGAGAGAGAGAGAGAGAGCTAATTACGATCCAGTTTCAAAATTACAGATGCTGCAGCATCCCCATGGTCATAAGCACAATATTTGGGTAGATTCGCCCTATGACTGGCCATTTCTCATCCCGCCAGGTCCCTGCAGGCTTTTCCCAATCTATATTTTCCTCCTCAATCCTCCCATCTCTGTCACCAATCACTCACTTTCCTTTTGTGAAGCTCCAGAGCTTTTGTTGGAGAAAGGAAGCAGGCTGCTCTACCCCTCAACATCCCTAGGTTGCATGGGGCCAGCTCATAAATTGTGGCTGCTTCAGAAATGGCCCTCTGAAGGGATACGAAGGGGTGGAACAGTCTGTTCCCCTTCTCCAATGCACTCTTTGAAGCTCTACAAAATATATGCTGGAAGAGAGTGCTGTTGTTAATATTTGGATGCTGCATAAATCTTCACTTAGTTCTAAAAGTGTGTCTGTGTGTGAGGGCGGGGGAGTCTGAAATAGCTGTAGAAATATGGAAAACTCAGTTTTACGGTTTCTGATCCTGCAGAACGCCAGGTTTTCCTCGCAACATGGAAAGACATCCCAAATGAAAATGAACTTCAGTTCCAAATTAAAGAATGTCACCTGAATGCTGGTAAGTTGATTTTTTTTTTCAAAAATACCATCTCTATAACTTTGCCTAAAACTGCCAGTTTTGATTTGTGACTCATGATTTGGCTTGAAAGCAGCTGCTCTTTTGGGTTTGTCCTATGTCTTGTATTCAACATGACTTTTGTGACACTTTGTGCCCCATAGATATGGATGGACTCCAGTGGGAGCTTAAGGAGTTTCCCAGTGATGCGGGGGGGGGGGGCAGTTTCTTTAGTTCTCTGGTTGACCACTGGCAATAAGAGGTGATATAAGCTCCTGACAAGATCATGCTCAACCAGACTTTTTTTTCTCCCTCAATCATGGGTGGCTCCTCAATTTATCAAGAAGCTTCAATAGGTGCTGTTAAGGTAATGATGATTTTAATAGCTATCCACCTGTTGTAAGACTGTAAATCGAGATTATGAAATGAGAATGAGTCAGCAGGGTTACTGCCACTTTAAGAAGCTGTCTATATAGGAGAGGCCCTGTGGGGGCGTCATTCTCTCTCCATTTTATAGTTAAAGATTGATTGATTGATTGATTGGCTGGTTTTGCCTAGTCTATGTATGTATTTATGTATGTATGTGTGTGTGTGTATATGTGTGTGTGTGTGTGTATACATACATACATACACATACACACATATACATACACACACATACATATACATATACATACACATGCACACATGTATGTATGTATGTATCAGTAGTGGGTTCTGGATCCCGTCACAACTGGTACACTGCGACAGGGCCAGGCGTCCTTGGAATGCGCGCTGCTCGCTCATGTACATACCACAGCCCAGTGACACTCAGCTGCTTGGCGGAGGTCGCGCAGGAACCGCACGTTGTGCGCGTGTGCACAATTGGCCCGTTTTCATCAAAAAGCAGTAAGGAACACGGGTGGGCCAAACGAGCCACTGTTCTGGTACGGTGGCTGCTGCTCCCAGCTACCACTGGTACGCCCGTACCGGGTCGTACCACCTGGAACCCATCACTGGTGTGTGTGTGTGTGTCTGTGTGTGTGTGTGTGTGCCTGCGCGCCTTGTAGCTAAACCACTGTTTAAAAGACAAAACCTCTCTCTATTGTATTTTGCTCCTGGGTTGTCTCAAAATAGTAGTCACATTGTGTCCACTCTGACAGGTGCAGTACCATAAGTTATAACCTAGAGAACCGGTAGAGAAAGATGGTTTTTAAAAAAGATACAAACTCATGTTTGAACCTATATTAGATCAGTAAGGAAGGTGAGGTATATATATATTTCTTTTCCCTTAATTGCTTCATTGGGGTGCAATTCAGCAGCCTATTTAGGATTGAAAACTTCCTGTTGGAGATAGTTGAGCAGGAAGGTTTCCTGCTGGGCTGTTGTGACTATTGTGCACAACACTTTGATAAAGTCGCTCAGATTTGCCAGAGCCTTGGAGTCTAATGTAGTGTCTAGAACATTATCTTTGTCATTAACTGAGCCTCTTTTTTGGCCTGCATGTTCCAATCGTTGGACAGAGTTAATGGAACTTCTGCCACCTGTGCTATAAGTCCATGTCTTTCCTGATTATTTAGGGGGTAGAGGAAGGTATCAAGATTGCAGCCTTGAAAGAGGCTGTGATACTCCTGCCCCTCAAGAGGCCCTCCTTGGATTCAGCTATATTGGACAAGTGTAAACTTTTTAGCCTTTCCCTGGAAAGTCAGCTGCAAAGGACTCTAGAGAAAATGAATTCTCTGAATCATTTCAGTCCCGTTTCAGCCGTGGGGCATATGATTGAAATGACATTGATTACACTGGTAAACGACTTGTTGAAATCTGGGTGGGGGAAAGCATCCCTTGCAGTCCTATTAAACTTATCAGTGGCTTTCAGCATTATGGTATCCTACTGGATCACTTGCTTAAGTTAGAGATGAAGGTAGTTTTACAATGGCTCAATTCCTTCCTACCGTATTTTTCAGAGTAAAGACGCACCAAGGTTTTGAAGAGGCAAATAAAAAGAAAGTTTTTGCACTCTGCAAACCTCCCCAAAACAGCCTGCTTTTCACAAAAACGGGCCTGTTTCCCCCCCCCCCCAAAAGGCATGAATAGCTTGTAAGGGGCTTGTAGAGTGCTCCTGGGAGGGGAGGCCAAAAATGAGCAAAAAACAGCCAGTTTTTTCACGAAAACGTCCCCCTTCACCAAAATGGTTGTGCATAGCCTCTAGGAAGTTATAGAGTGCTCCTGGGGGCTGGGGGGGGTTTAAAATGTAGCAAAAAACCAGGCTGTTTTTTGCTCATTTCTGCCCTCCCCAGCCCCCAGGAGCTCTCTGAAAGCTTCCTAGAGACTATGCACAGCCATTTTGGTGAAGGGGGCAGGGTTTCGGGGAGCAAAAAATGCTGTATTCAGTGTATAAGACGCACCCAGATTTTCAGCCTCTTTTTTGAAGGAAAAAGGTGCGTCTTATAGTCGAAAAATACGGTAAGTGGATGGTTCCAGTCTGTGGCAGTTGTGGTTCAGTTCAGTGGCCACACACATGATGTGTGTCATAGAGTTCAAGTTTACTTCCCTGTTATTTACGATCTAAAATAGCAGGGTCAAACTCGTGGCCCATGGGCCAAATGGATCAAGCACTAGCCAGCCCCACTCCCACTTTAGTGAAAGGGGGGGAGTCACAATATGTCACATGACGACACAAGTTTGACACCCCTGATCTAAATGCAGCCACTGGGAGAGATCATCCTTCTGTTCAGGATGCAGTAACATTAATATGCCCAATTGTACATTTGTACAAGAGACATAGAAGAGATGTCATATTGGCACATCTGAGAAAACCCGAATCTGGAAGTTTCCAGGTTTTCCCCACCCAAACGAAAGGAATGTTGCTGAGAAAGGAATGTTATTTTGACTATATCTACCCCACTCCATATAATCCCCCCTCCCAATTTCCCACAGCAATAAATGTGGCAGGCCTGCAGGCCCAATGCAAAAAATGGCTTCCAGGCCTGACACATTAACCATCCCATGCTGGTTCAGTGATGCAATGCTGGTCTTGTCTTGATGTCAGGAGAATGAGGGGGTCTGGGTGGCGAGTTATAGACTGAGGTTAAATATTAACAAGATGGAGTCACTCTTGACCCATCATGATTCCTCTTGTCTCTCAAAAGGAAGGCACCACCCCTGAGAGAGCAGATATGTGACTTGGATAACATCTTAGGCACTGTAGGAGTAGAATGAAGGCAGTGGCCAAGAGGATCTTCACCTAGTTTCTTCATCAATTGCACTTTTAACTAGACCATAATGATCTTACTTCACTCAGTAATACATGTCTCCATTGCTACCTGCCTAAACCACAACACATTCTAAAATAGCTGAGAAACTTGCAATTAGTGCAAAATGCAGCTGATCATTGACTGGCACATTGCACTTGTCATAACGTATAACATTAGCGTTGCACGTCCTACATTGGCTTTATGTAGGTTTCAATGTGCTATTCAATCCATTGATTTTGATCTATATCTCCTACCATGTTAGTTGCTTATCGGATCACCTCTTTCAACCAGAATTGATCCGTTGTCCTCAGAAAAAGCTGTTAATTGGTCACTACTCCCATGAAATGAGGGGAGCTGATGGCAGGAATGGCTGTTGTACTGTTGCAGCACCAGCCCCGTGGAATGGCTTCTGTTCACACTGAGCCTCTGTTTTCTATTCTCTACTGCTAAGCCACCCTGGGTTTGAGTGGGAAGGGGAGGGCAGAGAGAGGCATGCAGTGGAGATGCAACTTGTTTGTCTACAAGCTTTCTGCCTCACCTGACTTCTTGTGTATATTTTAATTCTAAGAAGTGCAAAATTGAGATGTTTGAAAGTGAGGCACTAACCTCCAGCATCATCTCTATTTCCAAGTTCATTCTAAAACAGTTTCTGCAACCAAACAGCATCATCGTTCTCAGAAAAGAAAAAATGAAGCTACAGCACAGCACTTTATTTGTAGGTACGTGCATCTGACTAGACAGAAGAAGAAAGAATAAGCAGAATAGGCAATTTCTTCTGGAAATGGAAGGTTTTATGAAGAGACAAGTGCTATTTCTATAAATTGGGCTTTGCAACCAGTTATGTCCCTGTAGTTAAAAAAAAAATTGTGAATGAGGTATACCCCTTAGAGAAATCATTTTGCTAGAGCTCCCCTATATTTTCAAAACATCAAATGTGCTTGACCAAAAGCCACTAATATAAAACACATATTAATAAAGGAATGAAGTTATTTTATCCGTCAGACTTTTGGGTAAGACAATGTATTTAAATTATATTCTATTGCTGATAGGAAAGTTTGCTTGCAAATTCAGTATCATCTGGGGCAATGACTGAGCTTGGCTCTCACAAAGCACAAAGTATGTTTTACGTGGAAGTAGGTGGTATTGTCAAGACATTTTTCATCTTTAAAACAATCATGCATTGTTTTGAGGCCTTGGGGCCTCCTCCAAGCATCTTCCTCTGCTTGCATGGGGCTACGTTATTATTGGAACTCAGAGAATTAGAATGCCAAAGAGATTCCACTCCAGGCAATACATGCTTGAAACAATACAGAAAGAGAGAAAGAGAATGTTTCCCATAGTTATAACAGATGTGAGCAGCCAGTTGGTGCCAATAATGCCTAACAGGTGAGAATATGTCCCATACTGAGCACGTCTTGAGAGCCGAGGTGGTGCAGTAGTTAGAGTGCAGTACTGGAGGCTACTTCAGCCGACTGCTAGCTGCAGTTCGGCAGTTCGAGTCTCACCGGCTCAAGGTTGACTCAGCCTTCCATCCTTCTGAGGTGGGTAAAATGAGGATCCAGATTGTTGGGGGCAATATGCTGACTCTCTAAAACAGCTTAGAGAGGGCTGTAAAAGCACTATGAAGCTGTATATAAGTCTAAATACTATTGCTATTGTTATTTTTTGCTTCCTTGGTTTTTGTGCAATGTTTTGGTGGGTTCTTTTAACTATTAAAAAAGACTCTTTTATAGTAGTTTTTAAGTATTTTCTGCTTTAAAATGGCATTGA